CTAGCTGTACGTTTCTTCTGATGACCAATATATAACATATACTACCACTCCAACTAAAAAGACTGGGTAAAAACAGTAACTGTGATTCTTTGAGATGTATTTTTTGTATGACTTGTCCTCCTTTCTCACTTCTATGGAGTCCTTAACAGAATCCATAGAAAGAAGTAGGCCATAGTTGTGCCTACTCAACTCTGTAGGACCTGGAACAGAGGTATCAAAACCCACCCTTGGCCGCAGGCTGGAACTATGGAGCCAGCAGCGGCAGTCAGTTCATGGGGAGGCAGTGGCACAGGTTCATCTTCAGGCTGCATGGGCCTGGATCTTTGTCACCAAAGACTAAGTCCACCCTTAATTCTATAATATGTTGTTCCGGTAGGTTGCCAGACTGCTACTGGTAATCACTTCTGGTAGGTTGCCAGATTACCAGTGGGTTGGATAGAATAGTTCTGTATTCCCCCAGGACACCCCTGACCTAGAATAAGGAGTCAGGATGTGATAGGTTATACACTTCTACATTTGTACCGAACTACAAAAAAAACAAAAAAGTTTTCCGAATTCAGAAAATTAATTTTGATAGTAAAATGGAGTATTTTGGTACATATAGTTGTGAACTGTCAGGCTGAGTTACTTTAGTTTTCTTTGTAGACTGAAGAGCAAATAATTCAGGGAACACCTATGGCTTTTGCTTATACAGGCAATCTAACTGAATGATTTGGCATTTGTATCTGTGAATCTGTATCAACCTGTTCTTCTTAATGGGTTTGATAGGGCTCCGTTAGTCTCATTTTTACTGACCAGTAAATACAGGGCCATAGCAGAAAAAAGCAACAGAATCTAACCAGCAAAATTTCCAATTTAAAATTGCCTTTAAGTTCTGCTATTATTCTGCATTTTTCAGTCTTTAAAATATTTAGTTACTAATAGCTGGATATTTAATCAATAATAGAGTATTGACTTAAGTAATTCGGTGTTATATTTCATTTTCCTTGATTTGATATCTTATAGTCTGTTCCTTTACTATCATCATTTAAATGTTTTGTTAGAAGATTGTGCGTTTCTCCAGTTTTTAGTTTTGGAATTTTGTATCAAAATGCAGAGTTGCTGAATTAGAGCAGCTCTAATTAAAGCGCTGCCCCCCAGCTTCCAGAGCACATGTGAAAGTTCCCATGCCAGTTGCAGCAGGTGGGGCTAGCTTAGCAGTGCCTGCAGCTGGCTGTACAGAGCCTTTCAGCCTCTGCTCTTCTACATGCTGCCCTTGAGCCCCAGCCTGGGGGCAGATTCCTGAGCCTGCCCTGCAGGGCTAGGGAGAAAGGTGGGAGCCTTCCTGGCTGCCCAGGCCTGGGTGGTCTCTGGGCCAGGCTCTCCTTCCTCTGCCCAGGGTAGGCCCACAGGACTATTCTAAGGCTGGAGAAATCGGGCCACTCCTCTGCAGTGGGGCCCCGGGTCCTGGCAGCTGGACTCCAGCATGGGAAGGGCCCCTTCGCTTTCTGGTGCTGCCACTGCCAGGGGCATAGCAAGCCCCTATGCCTTGTGAGGAAAACTGAAGGGACCTAGCCTTGGGAAGAACAAGACCCAGCTGGACTGAGGAGCTGGGGGATGGACCCTGAGTACTGCAGGTTGAGTCATGCTGGGCTGGGCCAGGCAGCTAGGCCCACCTCTCCCTCCCCCAGTTGTATCTTTGTGGCATTTGGCACCTTTTACAGTGCCAGCCCGCAGTCTGTACCATGCCAGCATTTGGGACACCATGGCACCTGCTCCACTCTGCTCCAGCCCAGCCCGGCCTGCCAGTGAGGAGATGGGGGTGTGTCCAGGGTCACCCTGGCTCACAGGAGGGGAACCCAGGCATCTGGGGCCCTGGCCTGAAGGCATAGTTATCAAAAAAAAAAAAAAAAAAAAAAAACGCAAAAA